CAGCATTTTTACCATTCATTAAACTTCTTTTTTCACACCTACAAGACGGAGATAAGCCCCTGGGTTATTTGGAAAAAAACACAACCATTTTGTTAAACCTGAATCCAACAATTTACTTAATAAAAATAAACTGCAGACATTCTATCATCTGAAAAAATGGGCAGATTCAGAAATGCAAAAAAAAATCAAAGTTAAAAAGAAGGAAAAAACTGCCAGGCATGTACATGCCGATCCTTTGGGTCACAAATTATGGCAGACTTTTCAAAAGGAATTGGACACTGCCCAACCACAGGAAAACAGCCCAGCAAAGACTGAGCGTGTAGGCGAAAGGCTGCGGGGAGTGGACTGGGTCCTCAATGACCCAGATGTCATCATCAAAGAAAGTGTCAATGAACTGAAGCACTGGGGGAAACAGAATGCCCAGCCAGCTGCGGAGAACACCGCCAAGGAAGAGGCGCTCAGGAGGCTGGCCCCAGGAGCCGGGGGGCAGCTTCACATGATGCGGAGGCCCCGGAAGTTAGTGGGAAGCTCCTTCAACACAAAACCTTCTTTTATAAATGAAGATAAAGCAGCAGTCTCTTCTTCCCTGCCTCCTGCCCCCACCCCTCCTAAATCTGAGGTTAAACAGGAATCAAAAGACTTATCCTACACTATTTTAGAAGATGCAGAAGGTATAGTTAGAAATATGGAAGCTTCTAAACCAACCTCGCGTCCCAGAAAAAAACACCTGTTCCTTGATCCTCGCTCTCGTGCGATGCACAGAGCATTCCAGGCTGAAAGGAATCACCATTGGAAAAGGGAAGAGCTACTCAGAACATCTGCAGGCGGGCCTCCATCCTCTGCAGTGAGGAACCTCATAAATTCTCCTTCACGAGAAGCTATTTCTTCAGAAGAACAACTGAATTCTCAGGAAAACCCTCTGGAAGAATTTTCTCCTTCAGACCGTCTTGTAGGAAAGGCGACTGTGCCAGAAGGAGCTATGTCTGAAGTCGCTGCCCATACGGATATTCCCAGCACATATGCTGTTACTGCAGGCAACTTTATGCCAACTGTTGAACACACGGACGAAACACAACAGGAATACCACAACGTGGGCACTGAATTACGCTCTAAACCCACTGGCTTCACTTCCCCAGGGCCTTCATCCTTGGGTGATCAGTTTGAAATCCAGGTAAACCAGCAGCTACGGTCCATCATCCCGAATGATTATATGAGAAGCCTCATTTCACATTTGATCTGGACTCTGAAACTGGACTGCACTGAGACGCACGTGAAGCTGTCCTGTGCCAAGTTCTTCACCAGAATAGGCCTCCTGATAAATCTGCTCAGTGAACAGCAAAAAGCAAAGATGTCCAAGGCAGAGAGGAATACCGACCTATGGAAAGCTGAGAACTATATCAGTGAGAGCACAGAAGACCGGAGTGAACAGACAAGGATGGAGTCAAATGAGGTGAGGACAGTGCCTGAAACAGGGGACCTGGACTTTTACTCAGTGTAGGACATGCCATTAAAGTGCCAAAGCAGGAAGACCAGGGGCCCGTGGTCTGTTATCTTATCCATGAAACTGGCTAAGACAGCGATCTCCCACTGTGCTCATTTAGAGAATGGTGCCACTATTCCTAGGGGAGCCTTAACACACAAGGTGAATTGTTAGGAGAAAATGCTGATGATAAGATCAGTAACACATGAGATCTGGTATGTTCTTGAAGAACTTATAAGCTACTCGAAAGGGTGGGGTTTAGAGTAGTTTAAGAATAGTTTGCTAAGGGGGAGGGTATACCTGAAGTGGTAGAGCACATGCTTAGCATGCACGAGGTCCTGGGTCCAGTCCCCAGCACTTCCTCTAAAAATAAACAAACCTAATTACCTCCCACCCCCCACCCCCAAAAGAGGAAGAGTGAGCTAGTGTCTGAATAGTTTTAGGAATAGTTAGAGTTCATCTTTTCTCTTTGTTTTTAAAAGAAATTATTCTTTATTTTTTAGCTCACAGAAGAAGTTCTGGGATCTGGCTATACCAAGAAACTCATCTTCGCAATATCACTATCTGTGACAGTAACTGCAGCAGTGGCAGTCTTGGTTATAAGTTTCTGCCTTTCTGAGGTAAGGACAATTGAGACTCAGAACCCTATTCCATGGTCCTCTTCATTCACAAGGACTGAGATAGGCTTTGGTCTTTTATGGAAGTTATTTGCCCGGGATTCTTGAAGGAGCTCCAGTCCCAGGGGGTCTCTGTGGAACTGAACCCAAGATAAACAAGCCATTAGACTATTTTGAAAAGTCAAGTTTATAAGAAGGCCAGAGTTGACATGGTAGTAAAATTTCTTCAACTCAGAACACTGCACCTCACCAGTCACTCTCATTCCTTCACTGCTTTCTTTCTTTGTTGGATGAAATGATAAGATACATCATCTCCACCCTCCTGGAGCCTTCAGTCACTGTGGGAGGGCTAAAAGGACATGGCTGAGAGATAGAAGTGTCATCTTGTCGATTCATTAGATTTCCTTCCGGCTTTCTTCTCCGGTGTGTAAGATATTGTGCAGGTAGGTTCCATCAAAATATTGTGAATAAAATCCTGCCTCAGGCTCCTCTGAAGTGTGTCCTTTTGTTGTAGTTCTGTTCTCAAACCATAGCCTACTGACTCTGCCGTGGAGGCCTGTCTCTGCAGGAGGACATCCTCTGCTTGTGTAGACACAGAAGCCCTGTCTGTAGAACAGATGATTTCTCACTGACGAGTAATAATTTTGCGTTCTGATTTCTGATCAATGCTGTGATACCGATAAAGTGAGACTGCTTTGATAGGAAGATGTGAGATCCCTCTTGGTGAAGAAAGAGTCTGATTTCTGAGTCTAGGAACCTGAGGACTAGCGTGGGGTCAGCTTGCTAGTCATTATTGGCCATTGCCCAGACTGTGCCCCCTGCATTTCCAGGTGGCATATGGCCTTGTGCTTTTGTAGAATTTCTACAAACTCCTTTTTTATTGCTTTTATTGCTATGTAGTTTAAACCTGCATTTGTATTTATTTATATCATTTCATAATTTCCTCTCCCCACTTAGATGATAAGTTTTTTCAGGACAGGGAGCATGCAGTGTTTTTCCTAAAGTTGACAAAAATGATGTTCAATGGAAGAGAGATGACGCATTATGTCAATTCCACAATGAGAAGTAATGCAACTCACTAGAAAGGAAATAGAAATAGCAATTAAAAACCTCCCTACAAATAAAAGTCCAGGACTGGAC